AAATGAAATCTTTCTGGGGTGGGCATGTAGCTGCAAGTCCTCACCATGTTGTCGCGATCGATCTGACGCTGCTGGTTCTTTCTCGACACCGCAGCTGAAGGAACTGGCTTCCTCGTCGCCTGCTCCCGTGGGGGGATGGAACAGTAGCGGCGTAAGGGGGGGCGGGTGCCAAGCATCAGAGGGTGACACAAGTCGCGCAGATTAGTACTCAATGGCACATCTGCATGGCAAATCTGCGGTCTATGTCATGATACGGGGGGGTGGGGGGTGCGATTTACTTTAAATCTTCGAATCGGTAGGTAACCCCAAAATCCTGGGGATACCAGGGGTGCCATAGGACTTGTGACGGGGGGGGGGGGGAAGACTTAGTCTACATAGTATGATAACTGTCGTCATTTGTTTTGCAAGTCCTCACCATGTTGTCGCGATCGATCTGCCGCTGCTGGTTCTTTCTCGACACCGCAGCTGAAGGTACTGGCTTCCTCGCCGCCTGCTCCCGTGGGAGGATGGAAGACTTGATTACGACGAGGATGGAAGACTTCATTAACTGTACCACAACTCAATGGTCAATATTTTGGCTGCAAGTCCTCACCATGTTGTCGCGGTTATCTGCCGCTGCTGCTCCCATGGGGGGATGGAAGCACTAACTATTACGACAACTCTATGATCGTCATTTGTTTTAGGTGCAAGTCATCCCCCTTCGGGGGATGGAAGATTTCGTTAAGACAACTCAATGGTCGTCATTTGTTTTAGCTGCAAGTCCTGACCATATTGTCGCGATCGATCTGCCGCTGCTGGTTCTTTCTCGACACTGCAGCTGAAGGTATGGCCCTCGCCGCCTGCTCCAGTAGGGGAATGGAAGACTTCGTTAAGACAACTTAATGGTCGTCATTTGTTTTAGCTGCAAGTCCTCACCATGTTGTCGCGATCAATCTGCCGCTGCTGGTTCTTTTTGGACACCGCAGCTGAAGGTACTGGCTTCCTCGCCGCCTGCTCCCGTGGGGGGATGGAACAGTAGCGGCGTAAGGGGGGGCGGGTGCCAAGCATCAGAGGGTGACACAAGTCGCGCAGATTAGTACTCAATGGCACATCTGCATGGCAAATCTGCGGTCTATGTCATGATACGGGGGGGTGGGGGGTGCGATTTACTTTAAATCTTCGAATCGGTAGGTAACCCCACAATCCTGGGGATACCAGGGGTGCCATAGGACTTGTGACGGGGGGGGGGGGAGGTGATCGCTAAGGGTGCCAACCCATTATTACTTCAATGTGCTACGCCGCCACTGGGATGGAAGCACGCTAACTATTACGACAAGTCAAGATCGTCATTTGTTTCGGCTATAAGTCCTCACCATGTTGTCGCGATCGATCTGCCGCTGCTGGTTCTTTCTCGACACCGCCGCTGAAGGAACTGGCTTCCTCGCCGCCTGCTCCCGTGGGGGGATAGAAGACTTGATTACGACAAGGATGGAAAACTTCATTGTGTAACTGTACCACAACTCAATGGAATGTTTTGGCTACAAGTGCTTACCACTGTTTCTCGACACTGCGGCTGTAGGTACTGGCTTTCTCGCCACCTGCTCCCGTGGGGGGATGGAAGAGTTAGTCTACATAGTATGATAACTGTCGTCATTTGTTTTGCAAGTTCTCACCATGTTGTCGCGATCGATCTGCCGCTGCTGGTTCTTTCTCGACACCGCAGCTGAAGGTACTGGCTTCCTCGCCGCCTGCTCCCGTGGGAGGATGGAAGACTTGATTACGACGAGGATGGAAGACTTCATTAACTGTACCACAACTCAATGGTCAATATTTTGGCTGCAAGTCCTCACCATGTTGTCGCGGTTATCTGCCGCTGCTGCTCCCATGGGGGGATGGAAGCACTAACTATTACGACAACTCTATGATCGTCATTTGTTTTAGGTGCAAGTCATCCCCCTTCGGGGGATGGAAGATTTCGTTAAGACAACTCAATGGTCGTCATTTGTTTTAGCTGCAAGTCCTCACCATGTTGTCGCGATCGATCTGCCGCTGCTGGTTCTTTCTCGACACCGCAGCTGAAGGAACTGGATTCCTCGCCGCCTGCTCCCGTGGGAGGATGGAAGACTTAGTCTACATAGTATGATAACTGTCGTCATTTGTTTTGCAAGTCCTCACCATGTTGTCGCGATCGATTTCCCGCTGCCGATTCTTTCTCGACACCGCAGCTGAAGGTACTGGCTTCCTCGCTGCCTGCTCCCGTGGGAGGATGGAAGACTTGATTACGACAAGGATGGAAGACTTGATTACGACAAGGATGGAAGACTTGATTACGACAAGGATGGAAGACTTGATTATGACAAGGATGGAAAACTTCATTATGTAACTGTACCACAACTCAATGGAATATTTTGGCTGCAAGTCCTCACCATGTTGTCGCGATCGATCTGCCGCTGCTGGTTTTTTCTCGACACTGCAGCTGAAGGTACTGGCTTCCTCGCCGCCTGCTCCCGTGGGGGGATGGAAGACTTAGTCTACATATGATAACTGTCGTCATTTGTTTTGCAAGTCCTCACCATGTTGTCGCGATCGATCTGCCGCTGCTGGTTCTTTCTCGACACCGCAGCTGAAGGTACTGGCTTCCTCTCCGCCTGCTCCCGTGGGAGGATGGAAGACTTGATTACGACGAGGATGGAAGACTTCATTAACTGTACCACAACTCAATGGTCAATATTTTGGCTGCAAGTCCTCACCATGTTGTCGCGGTTATCTGCCGCTGCTGCTCCCATGGGGGGATGGAAGCACTAACTATTACGACAACTCTATGATCGTCATTTGTTTTAGGTGCAAGTCATCCCCCTTCGGGGGATGGAAGATTTCGTTAAGACAACTCAATGGTCGTCATTTGTTTTAGCTGCAAGTCCTCACCATGTTGTCGCGATCGATCTGCCGCTGCTGGTTCTTTCTCGACACCGCAGCTGAAGGTACTGGCTTCCTCGCCGCCTGCTCCCGTGGGGGGATGGAAGACTTGATTACGACGAGGATGGAAGACTTCATTAACTGTACCACAACTCAATGGTCAATATTTTGGCTGCAAGTCCTCACCATGTTGTCGCGATTAATCTGCCGCTGCTGGTTCTTTCTCGACACCGCAGCTGAAGGTACTGGCTTCCTCGCCGCCTGCTCCCGTGGGGGGATGGAAGACTTGATTACGACAAGGATGGAAGACTTGATTACGACAAGGATGGAAGACTTGATTACGACAAGGATGGAAGACTTGATTATGACAAGGATGGAAAACTTCATTATGTAACTGTACCACAACTCAATGGAATATTTTGGCTGCAAGTCCTCACCATGTTGTCGCGATCGATCTGCCGCTGCTGGTTTTTTCTCGACACTGCAGCTGAAGGTACTGGCTTCCTCGCCGCCTGCTCCCGTGGGGGGATGGAAGACTTAGTCTACATATGATAACTGTCGTCATTTGTTTTGCAAGTCCTCACCATGTTGTCGCGATCGATCTGCCGCTGCTGGTTCTTTCTCGACACCGCAGCTGAAGGTACTGGCTTCCTCGCCGCCTGCTCCCGTGGGGGGATGGAAGACTTGATTACGACGAGGATGGAAGACTTCATTAACTGTACCACAACTCAATGGTCAATATTTTGGCTGCAAGTCCTCACCATGTTGTCGCGATCGATCTGCCGCTGCTGGTTCTTTCTCGACACCGCAGCTGAAGGTACTGGCTTCCTCGCCGCCTGCTCCCGTGGGGGGATGGAAGACTTGATTACGACGAGGATGGAAGACTTCATTAACTGTACCACAACTCAATGGTCAATATTTTGGCTGCAAGTCCTCACCATGTTGTCGCGATCGATCTGCCGCTGCTGGTTCTTTCTCGACACCGCAGCTGAAGGTACTGGCTTCCTCGCCGCCTGCTCCCGTGGGGGGATGGAAGACTTGATTACGACAAGGATGGAAAACTTCATTGTGTAACTGTACCACAACTCAATGGAATGTTTTGGCTACAAGTGCTCACCACTGTTTCTCGACACTGCGGCTGTAGGTACTGGCTTCCTCGCTGCCTGCTCCCGTGGGAGGATAGAAGACTTAGTCTACATAGTATGATAACTGTCGTCATTTGTTTTGCAAGTCCTCACCATGTTGTCGCGATCGATCTGCCGCTGCTGGTTCTTTCTCGACACCGCAGCTGAAGGTACTGGCTTCCTCGCCGCCTGCTCCCGTGGGAGGATGGAAGACTTGATTACGACGAGGATGGAAGACTTCATTAACTGTACCACAACTCAATGGTCAATATTTTGGCTGCAAGTCCTCACCATGTTGTCACGATCGATCTGCCGCTGTTCTTTCTCGACACCGCAGCAGATGGAACTGACTTCGCCGCTAGCTCCCGTGGGAAGCACTAACTATTACGGCAACTCTATGATTATGATCGTCATTTGTTTTAGCTGCAAGTCATACTCCCTTCGGGGGATGGAAGATTTAGTTAAGACAACTCAATGGTCGTCATTTGTTTTAGCTGCAAGTCCTGACCATATTGTCGCGATCGATCTGCCGCTGCTGGTTCTTTCTCGACACTGCAGCTGAAGGTATGGCCCTCGCCGCCTGCTCCAGTAGGGGAATGGAAGACTTCGTTAAGACAACTTAATGGTCGTCATTTGTTTTAGCTGCAAGTCCTCACCATGTTGTCGCGATCAATCTGCCGCTGCTGGTTCTTTTTGGACACCGCAGCTGAAGGTACTGGCTTCCTCGCCGCCTGCTCCCGTGGGGGGATGGAACAGTAGCGGCGTAAGGGGGGGCGGGTGCCAAGCATCAGAGGGTGACACAAGTCGCGCAGATTAGTACTCAATGGCACATCTGCATGGCAAATCTGCGGTCTATGTCATGATACGGGGGGGTGGGGGGTGCGATTTACTTTAAATCTTCGAATCGGTAGGTAACCCCACAATCCTGGGGATACCAGGGGTGCCATAGGACTTGTGACGGGGGGGGGGGGGGGAGTCAAATATGTTGGACAAATTTTTAATAAACATGGTATGTCTATGGATAGGGATAGGGTAGAATCTCTAGTAAATTTAAAAGAACCCACTAATAAAGATGAGTTGCGGCAAATTTTAGGATCATTTAATTATGTTCGTAGATATGTTCCTGAGATGGCCAGTCTGATGTCACCTTTATGCAAATTATTGAAAAAGGATTGTGAATTCATATGGTTACCTAATCACAAGAAAGCTTTTGAAGAACTTAAGTTAAAAGTAAGTAGTGCCCCTGCTCTTTGTCCATTTGAACCTAATAAAAAAATAATTTTACAATGTGATGCTTCTAAAGATGGCCTCGGATGCTGCTTATTCCAAAGTGATAAAGATGTATTAAAACTAGTAGCATGTGCCTCAAGATCAATGAACCAATCAGAAGTTAACTATAGTCAAACGGAGAAAGAGCTATTAGCTATTACATTTGCTGTAAAAAAGTTTCATAGATACATATATGGCCTAAATGTAGATGTACAAACAGATCACAAACCAATTGTTTCAATTATGTCTAAATATATTTCCAAAATTGGATCCCCTAGATTAAAGAGGTTGCGATTAAAGTTGTTAAATTACAATTTAAATGTTTATTATGTTCCAGGTAAATTTATACATTTTGCAGATATGTTATCTAGAAATAATTTAAGTGTTACTGAACATGATAAAGAAATGTTGCAAATTGTGCACTCTGTGTCCATACACTTGCCCATGTCGCCTGAAAGAAAATTATTGTTTAGAAAAGAAACTAATAATGATGAAACACTTTCATTACTATGTAAATATTATCATGAGGGATGGCCAGAGGAAAACAAAGTTCCTGCTGATTGTCAACCATACTATAAATTGAGGAATAGCATATACTTTCAATCAGGGTTTGCGTTTCTTGAGGACAAAATCATTGTACCTAAAAATCTCAGATCTGATGTAGTAAAATTAATACATGAAGGCCATATTGGTATTGGAAAATGCTTGAACAGGAGTAGGAAACTGTTTTATTGGCCAAAAATGTCCCAAGAAATATATCAATATGTTATGCAATGTCACACATGTGAAAAGTTTAGATCTAGAAATTGTCATGAACCATTGTTACCACACAAAATACCTAAATTAAGATTTAGTAAAATAGGTGCTGATATATTGGAATTTGCTAAGAAACCTTATCTTGTTGTTGTCGACTATTTTTCACACTGGCTTGAACTTATTCCTTTGCCTGACAAGTCAGCAAAATCTGTAATATCAGGATTCATTGAAATTTTTTCTCGATTTGGTTTTCCTGTTGAAATTGTGTCTGACAATAATCCGTTTAACTCAAAAGAATGTTTAGATTATTTTAAAAGTAAGGACATATGTTTAACTACAAGTAGTCCTCATTATCCTAGAAGCAATGGTATGGCTGAAAAAGCAGTAGACATTAGCAAGAATATCTTAAAGAAAGCTGCAGAGGATAGTGTGGACTATAGAGAATATGTAATGTCATATAACAATGCACCTTTGGCTGGAATGGTAGTATCTCCATCACAAATATTAAATAGTCGAACCATGAGAACACTTGTACCAATTACTGAAAAAGCATTGGAGCCTGTTGTTATTAAAAATATACACAAATTGTTAATCTTGAAGCAGTCTATAAATAAATCTAAATTTGATAGGTCAGTCAGAAAAAAAGAGGTTAAATTTAATATTGGTGATGAAGTGGTATATCGTACAGGAAAGGATGAATATTGGAAAAAGGGTAAAATTGTAAAGAAATGTAAAGAGCCTAGGTCATACTGGGTGGAAAGAGATGGGAGCTTTCCAATCCGTAGAACTACAAATCATTTAAAAAAATCTTTTTCAAACACTAAGCAATTTAAGACAAGTTATTATAATGATGATTCCAGGGCTACAGAAGACAATACTACACTGAATTCTGATCCAATGATTTCATCCCCTGCTCGGGTATCTCCACCAAGAGATGTTGTCTATGATAATAATTATTGTACTAGAAGTGGCAGGGTAGTAAAACCACCTAACCGATTAGATTTGTAATTTCGGGGGGAAGGTGTTTTATTTATGGTTTCGGAACTGAATGTCAATGTCATCTGTCATTCATGTTTGATTTTTTTACAATAAAAATGTGTTGTTAATTTCTGAGAGTTTTCAATATTAAAACACTTTACAAGCTAAGTTTTGGGAGATATCCTTTCCATCATTTCTTTATTTAATTTAGCGCACACAGAAATATCAGTATCAGCAGTCAAGCAAACTTTGCAATATAAACTTTCGCAACTTTTGAAAAGTTTTTCAAAATTACGCGCGTTTAGTTAACTTATCGAATATGTGTGTATACTGTTTTTTTACTTATTTTCTTTGCGTAATATGTTTTAATATGAATTACAAACTGCTGATAAAATTATTGCTTGACTTGGTAGTCCGTACTTCCGTGGTCAGTACAATGTTGTATTTTTTTTAAGAGACTACCATATCTTGAGAAATGGAACGTATTCACTTCGTGGCATGTACCGTCAACTTGACATTGACAGGTATTATGTTTCTTCTCGTTTCTTGTGCAGTGACTAGATTCGTAAATTCCTCTAACATATTTTGCTGAAAATTCTGTGAAAATGGCTACTGTCGAGGAGTTGAAGAAGAAGGTAATGGAGCTGGAATCGAAGCTAGCCGCTTGCCAGGGAAATGTGGGTCCAGCGAGGGAGAAAATCCAAGTTATGTCGTCTGAAGTAGTCGACTCCAACCCTTACAGGTATTTATGTTTTATTTCCTTCAGATGAATATCTTTCCAATGAAACTGCTGTAAAGTAACAAGATTGAATGTTTTGGCAATGCTCTGATTGTAAAATATTGAACAAAATTGTATAATTGGGGCCCAATATGGTGTTTTCCAAAATGTGGACATTTTCACTTTCAACTGGTTAAACTTATTCCGTTCGCTTAAAAATCGTAATAATAAAGTAATAATATCACACAATAATCTTATTAAATATAAAAAATACGTATTTAGAGCTCAGACTGCCTAAGATCATAATTTAAAGTTGTACAATATCTATCAGCCTTAAATTTTGTTCTACTTCATTCTTCTTCTTTTCGTGTCGACAACAAACCTACACAGTGTCAGCCCAAAACTCCGCCACAAGAGTGGCGTTGTCAGTAGCACTCATCAAATCCTCCTGAGTGCAATTGCTTGGGCACTCAGGGCATGACATCAGGTGCTTCATCGACTGGGGAACAAAACCGCTACTACTTCATTATTTTTGTATTTATTATAGTCGTTTAATGGCGCTCAAGAGGATGGGCATAGTGGACAACTACGAGAAGATCCGTGAGCTCTCTGTGGCCGTGGTGGGAGTGGGTGGGGTGGGCAGCGTCACAGCTGAGATGCTGACTCGTTGCGGTATTGGAAAGGTATTTGTCTATGATATTTTATTTGATTGTGGAAGTAGAAGCTTGATACGCAATGATTACTTGCTTACATACCTTAAATGTGCAGATATGTACCATTCTAGACTGCATCTCAATTAACACCATAGCCCCGATTACGGTAATTTTTAACGTCTTCAATCAAGATCATCGATTCTGCGATACGATTGGTCAAAACAGCTGACGTACGCTGTTTTGATCATTACGCTGACCAATCGTATCGCAGAATCGTTGAAGCGCGTATGGATTGGAGACATTAAAATTACCGTAATCGGGGCTCAGGTATGGTTGCAGTCAAATACCTGCCTTGTATGTCTTACATAAAAAAAAGTATTCATCCTGTTATTTCTCTTTTGATAAAGATAAATTGTTTACATTCACCTTTAATTTTACTCAATGCTCAATCCTTCATCCAATCTTTTATTCCATCCATTGTGACCTTAAAATTGGAACATTATGGCCTGTAAGGCACGGCAATTGGGAATTTATTTTAGTCTCTTTATCACTGTATTTCAGCTCATCTTATTTGACTACGACAAAGTGGAGCTAGCGAACATGAATCGTCTGTTCTTCCAACCGCACCAAGCAGGGCTCAGTAAGGTGGACGCTGCGGCAGGCACGCTGCAGTCCATCAACCCAGACGTGGCCATCGATGCGTACAATTACAATATTACCACTGTTGACAACTTCCAGAAGTTCTGTGATACTATCAGGTTTGTGTTGAGAATAGTGTTCATCATTTGGTTTGTATAGTTTAGATGTATGTCTTCTTTTCATCACTTTCTTATTTATTATTTATCAGTTAATTTCACAAATTAAAATAGGCTATGTACCTAATTCAAATTATGGATGTCGTATGGCTGAAATGATGAAGTACTTTAAGGACAATTATTAGTAGTGTTAGAAAGCTAGTCAGATGCACCGTGCATGTGTACTTGATTCTGCATTGCTCATTCAAATAAGTTTGTAATTAGGTGTAGAAGCAAAATAAAATCTATACTAATATTATAAAGCTGAAGAGTTTGTTTGTTTGTTTGTTTGTTTGTTTGTTTGTTTGGTTGAACGCGCTAATCTCAGGAACTACTGGACCGATTTGAAAAATTCTTTTTGTGTTGGATAGCCCGTTAGTTCCTGAAGGCTTTAGGCTATATATCATCACACTACGACCAATAGGAGCGGAGCACCAATGAAGAATGTTTCAAATCAGTGATTTTTTTCCTTTTGAGAGCTTACGCTGCGTAAACGGTTAAAGTTTCGCAAAAATCATGTATGACAGGATTGTTCCCCTTTAAAAGTTCTAAAAAAAAGTCCGCGATAGCATATGTCTATCTTTAAAGGTTGGCTCTTAGTAACCTTTTTTATGCAAAAAAAATCTGTTTTAAGTTAATGCATTATTTACGGAGGTTTTTTCATAAACATGATATTAATCCTTATCCAAATAAATAAGTTATTCATCACAAGTATTTAATTTTAAACATACTTGCCCTTTACACCATTCGATTTCATTAAATATCTTAGGAGATATCGCAGTTTTAAAACATCATCGCAGCAAAATAATTATCAAGTACTGCGCGCGCCACTGATGGATCAATGCACAGCCTAAACCGCTGATCGTAGAGACCTGAAACTTTGACGGTGTGTTCTTTGTATGACGTAAGCATCTGATAAGAAAGGATTTTCCAAAATTCTACCCCTAAGGAGGTAAAAAGGGGGGGCGAAGTTTGTATGGGATAACGAGATTCCTTCGTCCAATCTACTTCAAATTTCGCATAAGCATTCTATAACAGAATTAATGGAAGATGTGTTTCGTATTTTAGTGAAATGCACCCCCTAACTATGTTAAAAAGGGGTAGAAAGTTATTTTAGAGGTGATTTGCTTCAAAGTTGATATTATTAATTACTCATTAGTGCATTTTTTTACAATCATGTCATGTTAAAGACTATCATACTCTAGGGGCCTCCACTTAACCTCGGAGTGGGTGCCCGCTGCGTGCGCTCGCCTAACAATTATTCATAGTAATGCATGACGGTCATGCCGCGGGCACCTGCTTGCGCTGTAGGGCCTGTAGGTAGGTATACATAAACTCATTTTCGCGCGAGAGTTTTGGCGGAGGCCCTTGAGGTAGTGGGAATAGTCTTGAGGAAAAGCTTCTTCTCCCACGGCCAGTGGCATGCTAGGCTAGAAGCTTGGTGATTCTAGCTCCCGTAGGAAAATAAAATAAAAAGTTTACCAATAATACTGCGGTAGGTGTAGTTTTCGATTTCGTTGTAAAAAGATAATACCACCGAGTAACTTTCACCGGATAAACTTTTAAAATTATTAAAAGTGCCTACCCAAAGTCATTATTCCACGCGGACGAAGTCGCGGGCACAGCTAGTTACATTTATAAGTATGAATTTTTTCAAGAATTGGCTACCAAGTTCATCATACTAAAGAAAAACTATACTTCATACATGCCTACTTTAGTTATTTTGATTACGCCTATATCCAGGAAAATTTCTTTTTTTAAGGCGACTTTTCTAAAGAAATATTTCAATTTCAGAACAGGCAGCCTGACCGGTGGCCCAGTGGACCTGGTACTAAGCTGTGTGGACAACTTCGAGGCACGCATGGCCATCAACACGGCCTGCAACGAGCTCAACCAGAAGTGGTTCGAGTCAGGTGTCAGTGAGAATGCTGTGTCCGGACACATACAGTTCATAGTGCCCGGGGAGACTGCTTGCTTTGCTGTGAGTATTTGGTAAAGAAAGTACTAAAGCCTGGTCCGTGAGCACGTAGAATTTTGTCCAATGACCCCTAGCTACCCATCCTTATCACTCGCGCGTAATTATATTGCTGTCGCGACTGTGCGACTGGCACCCGCAGTGAGTGTGCGAGCGCGACAGCAACATAATTACGCGCGAGCGATAAGGATGGGTAGCTTGGGGCCATTGGACAAAATTCTACGTGCTTACGGACCAGACTATAGTTAAAGGCTTTTTCCTAAGATTTCCACTATGATTGCTCCAATAAGTGAGAGACCTATTGAATTGAGACTATTAAAATAAATGTAATTTTTAAAAGGTCTAAGATGCTGAATAAGTTCTTTACTGGTTCCAGTTTTCTGCTTGTTTAATCGACATAGTAGGTACATTACTAAATAATAATTTTCCTTCCAGTGTGCTCCACCACTGGTTGTGGCATCGAAGATCGATGAGAAAACATTGAAAAGAGATGGTGTGTGCGCTGCCAGTCTGCCAACTACCATGGGGATTGTAGCAGGTTTCTTAGGTAACTGTGTTTGTGTCTATTTGATTGAGGAAAATCATTTTTTGACTCTATGTACGTAACTGATAATGGTTTTTTGTTCCAGTACAAAATACGCTGAAGTACCTCTTAGAATTCGGCACAGTTAGTCACTATTTAGGATATAGCGCACTCACAGATTTCTTCCCTTCAATGGCTTTGAAGGTAAGTTTTTTCTAGTTATTTAGTTAACAGCCAACTCGCTTATGTCGTGGTTTAAACCCGGAGATTTTCTTCAATTTATTAGCTTGGTTAGTATACTAGAATTGATCATAATATAAACGCCATTATGGCATTGTTCGCCTTTTAGACTGTGAAATGTGCAATAATCGTCATAATCAATATAGCCTTCCTCCAATGTTTTCCCGATTAGTCTTCCTGTACCTATTTGTATACCTAAATGTGCAAGCAATAAAGTTTCAAATAAATAAATTAAGCCCGGTCGCCGAGCACGTAGAATTTTGACCCCATTATCGCTCGCGCGTAATTATGTTGCTGTCGCGCTCGCACACTCGCTGCGGCCGCCCGTCGCACAGTCGCAACAGCAATATGATTTCGCGCAAACGATAAGGATGGGCAGCTTGGGGTCATTGGACAAAATTCTACGTGCTTGGCGACCGGACTATAGCTACTTATGAGGGTTTCTTTCCCTCCAGCCCAACCCTCAATGCGACGATAGCTTCTGCCGCGCGCGCCAAGTGGAAGTGCGCGCGCGGCCCGTCGTAGAGGTCGCTACTGAGGTCAAGGAGGACGTGGCGCCCCTCCACGCCGATAACGATTGGGGCATCTCGCTTGTAGACGAAAATAATCCTGAAGATGACGACAACAATCTGAACTTGGTTGATGGTGTGCAGGTAACTACCCATTATTACCATTAGTAGTATTTCAGTCACTATAAGTCCACTGCTGAATCGATTTGAGCCACTGAGGTGAAACATGACGCCGCGCCCTCTACGCCGATAACTCGTGGATGAGAAAACCCCTGAAGTCTACGATAATAACCTGAACTTGGTCGATGGTGTTCATGTAGCTACTCAGCATCATCATTTGAGCCATAGAACGTTCAGTTCTACTCATTTAGGTCAAAGAGAACGTCGCGCTCCTTCACGCAGATAACGATTGGGGCATCTCGCTCGTGGACGAGAATAACCCTGAAGATGACGACAACAATCTGAACCTGGTTGATGGTGTGCAGGTAACTAACTAAAGCCCGGTCCGTGAGCACGTAGAATTTTGTCCAATGACCCCTAGCTACCCATCCTTATCGCTCGCGCGTAATTATATTGCTGTCGCGACTGTGCGACTGGCACCCGCAATGAGTGTGCGAGCGCGATAGCAACATAATTACGCGCGAGCAATAAGGATGGGTAGCTTGGGGTCATTGGTCAAAATTCTACGTGCTCACGGACCGGACTATACACAGAATCATTTGAGCCATACGACGTCCACTTCTAGTCATTGAGGTCAAAGAGGACGTCGCGCACCTCCACGCTGATATTGAATGGGGCATCTCGCTTGTGGACGAGAATAACCCTGAGGACGACGACAACAATCTGAACTTGGTTGATGGTGTCCAGGTAACTATTCAGCATCATCATTTGAGCCATAGGACATAGGCTTCCTCCAAGAATCAAATTGAACCCCGACATCACGGAAAACCCCTCTACGTCGATAGAATAGAATAGAAAACTTTTTATTTGCAAGAAAGGTATACAAGCAGGCAAGACATAGATTCAAACAGAGAGAAATAAACAAGTGGACAATTGACTGCTTGTGCCCCTCTGACAAAAAGGCACCCGCTCAGCGATCGATAGCGATAGCGAGTAGGGTATTGATGAGAACAATCTTGAGGATAACCGCACTAATTGGTAGTGTTCAGATCCAGGTAACTTATTTTGATTACATGGAAGTTATTAGGTCGGATTAGGAGAACTATCAGTAAACCCTTCGAGACTGGAATGATGATGACTGCAATACGTCAAAGTAATAAATCCTTTTTCAACCCAGGTGGCATACAGCATCCCAGTTGATAACAGCACACCAGAATCAAGCACCGGAGGCGCGGTGGCCGCCTCAGAATTATCGCTCGAGGAGCTCATGCAGCAGATGAAGTCCATGTAAACATATCACGACGAGGCAAAGGTACGTTGTAGGTTGTTGTATGAAGTGGCCAAAATGCTTGGTGCCGATACTAAGCAGAAAAAAAAAATAGAAACCACAATGGATTTTGATCTTTGACTCTAAGGGGTAAGGTTTGAAATCAATTGTGGAATGTTTTATTTTGTGGTAGGCTAGCCAATGTGACAATCGAAAGAGTTTATTGAGTAGAATCACTATGATTTGCTTTTGTCCATTATTGGTTTGAATGTTATTATTGACGCCCAGAAAAACCCAACATAATAATATGTTTTTAGAATAATTATTACGGGCTAATTTATACAAACTATTGTCACTGCGCACTGCATCGCTCTCTGAAACCTTCAAACGAGCATAATTCTTCTGGACTTCAGTAATTTGATGATTTTCTAATTTGGTCAAATTCAAAAAACTTACCTCGTAAGAGTTAGAGGCGTATTTGATAATAAGCTATTTTCGTTATATAGCTTAAACATAACGAATGAAACATAAGCAGAACCTCAAGGTGGACAAACGTCATTCTAAATGCCATAAAAAGTGCAATATTTTTCTACTGATATTGTGGCAATATCGTATTACTTATTTATTATAAAAAATCTGTCATCTCATGGCAAAATATGTAATATATTTGAGAAAAGGAATAATATTGTTAATTAATTTTAATTTGAACTAAACTTGTAAAAAGCACAAACTTCCATTATGCATTTTATTTTTTACATATACAAATGTATCATTATTTCACTGTGTTAAAAGCCGGCCTTAAACTAATTTAGAATTAAAAATATACCTATTATAACTCAAATTATTAGAAGATAAAAGTCACAAAACAGAATAAACAATGTCAAATTATTTATTAATTTATTAATGAATATAAATCATAACAAAACGAAAACTTGATATGAAATCATTCCAGCAAATTAGTTATAAGAATATTTTATCTGAAGTAATGTATGTGATTGTTTTTGATATATTTTGAAATTTTATATAAATATTTATTGTTATTAAGCTAAGCTACGCATCGTATACATGTATTGGTGCGAATTTTGTCGAACGATTAAATGTCTTCTGCGAGAAGGTCGTTTTTGATTATTTCAGTGAAGCTCTTGAGTTTTGCGGTTATTTTCTTGTTTTCAGGCGGTAACTTGTTATTCTGAAACGAAAAAAGCACATAAATTACTGTAGTACGCTTTCAAATCGCGCTTTTAATGAGGTATAGTTCCAAAATACTGAACTGTTTACTGTCCTATCCATGACCACGGTAATACTATCTACCATGACATTGACAGCGTGGCGCCACCGTCAATACCGGATCGCTGGTTCCGATTTTTGCCATGTTGGAAACCATATAGTTGAACGATGGTAGCGCCCCCCTGTCATTGAGTTTGGTGGGACAGTTTAGCGTGGGTCATCTATAGATGTTCATATACTCGTATCTGTCCACGAGCTACGAGCACGAGTGTCTATACGCGAGCGGCAAAACTCTTGAATAAGAACGCGTCACTGCGCTAAAACTTGCGCTGATAATGCACAAAAATGCGAGCCCGTTGAAATCGCGCGTGTTTGTAACCCTACACGTATGAGTTGTTCTTTCTTTAGCGAAGGTCCTAAGGTTAAATATCTTTACCGTAATGCAGTCCAAGAGCTGTCTCGCGCGCCTGACGACGCCGGCGTCGATGCCGCTAGCCTGCGCTACGTCATGTGCAAAGCTGCAGACTGCACTGCCCTCTATCAGGCGGAATAGGAACACAGGCTCACCGTCTTGCAGCGTATGCTCGAAGCGCTGCCAGAAAATTTTATATGCTTACCGGAAATCCATGTTTTGTAAGAAATATTAAAATTAACAAAACTTATGTTAAATCTCCAGTTGACCTTCAATCATAACAGGTAATTCCGTGAGTCAACATTTGAGACAATTTGTCTGTGTCACACGTAATAGCGACTATAGGTAATAAATATGACAATCATGCTCGCACAAAAGGGTTCCGTGTAATACGGTAAACCGAAAACAAACAAAAACAAGTTTGTATAGGGATCTCCCCTTAATTACTAATTTTATTTTGATAAATCAGGATAGAATCTGCTGATCAACAGACAAAAGTTACAACTCTAAAAGATTTACAAAGTCGTTACCTGAAACCTCACAATCGGCGTGTTCACGATATACTTCTGTATGTCCAAGAAGTGCGTGGACAGCAGCAGATGAGGGCAGTTGTCCTCTCTGAATAGGAAGCTGTTGAGACAAGCGGCTAACAGCGCCAGACCGTCCACCTCGGACGTCCCTTTGCCGAATTCGTCGATTATGATCAGGGAGTTGGAAGTGGATTCTTGGAGAGCTAGCGCCATCTTGAATGGGGGCATTTTATTTTGATAATGATTATCGGCTTCAGCTGTGGTTGAGCGATGGAATCAAACTAGGGACTTTTTTTTTAAAGATTATTTGTAATTTGTTAGTGCACAAATTACTAATACTCCTGTTAGCCCCTCGTACTAAGCTAAAAATGCTTGTGAGTCTGAGTGAGTGAGTGATAGTGTGATGAGCTCCAGAATTTTCCATTTAAGAAAAGCCGTGTGATTCCTGTAGAATAGATAAGGACTACCCTGACTCTGACTGGTGACTAAATAAGGCCTCCCCAACCCGTCTGCCCAGCGTGAGGAGTGAAGACGAAATTCTCCTTTTGCCTCTCTGGTAAATTACATTGGAGAGAGTAGTATTTCTGCAGCGAAGAATATGACGATGACGTCTGATAACGGCCTGCTGATAATGACGGAGCTCTTAAAAAGATAAATAGTTGAAGAGAAACGTAGTACCTGTCTCAGGTCGATCAGGAAGGCAGACATGTGAGCGGCTACACATTCAGTGGACTGAATGCGGCTGTAGATGTGCGCGACCACGCCGATAGTGGCGCGCTCTGCCGGCACGAAGCTGCCGATGTGAGCCAGGTACACGATCAGACCTGGTGAGGTACACTCTGGCATAACAGGCTATGTTTTTGTTAGAAAGTAGTACCTATTTTGCTACAGGAAACGCTAGTGTTTAAGATTGATGTGAGATGACGAATATTGCAGTCATAAGAATAATACCAATATGAGAAACTAGCTTTCAATACAACAATATGAAAAACTTTATCGCGCGCGTCCCTGTTTCAAAAACCGGGATAAAACTATCCTATGTCCTTTCCCGGGACTCAAACTATGTCCCACTCCCTGCCAAACATCAAAATCGGTTCAGTGGCTTAGGCGTGAAAGAGAGACAGACAGACAGAGTTACTTTCGCATTTATAATATTAGCAAGTATAGATAATAACTGATTCAAATCGAGATCCTGCTTAAACTTCCTTGAGCAACGTGTGAAATGATTAAGCAGTTAGAAATGGTGAGAGTGGGTGGGTTCTTTGTGTATTAGTTTCATCCTTACCAATCTGCTTCATATAAACAGACTTCCCGCTAGAGTTGGGCCCTGTAAGGATCTTGACTAGGCCCGCCTCCCGGCTGCTCTCGGCGTCGTTGGGCACGAAGCAGTCGCTCGCGGCAGCGTGCAGCGGGTGCCTTCCTTGCGTGATGCTGAGCACTTTCTCTGTGGTCAGGGTAGGGCGGACGAAGCCGAACTCCTTGCATACTTTTGATATGGCTATGAGGCTGGAAGATGGAGGATGAAATTACTTGACGAAGAGATACCTAGTTCAAGTAAGGTCTTCTGACAAATAAAGGACATTTATAAATAAAAGAACGGCTCTAGAAGATGAGAAGATGATTGAAGAGTCTCTGAAGGCATTCACAGTACAGCGAGTAGACTTGAAAATCTTACTTAGCAAACACAAATGCTTTAACTATTCTGGCTTAGGGCCCTCGCCCACGACGACTTTTTGTCGCGCTGACGTAGCGTGTTGGCATCACTTCTGTAGTGCGTTGCAAATGCGACTAACGCGCGTTAGTAGCGATGCTGTCGCGCGTTTCGTAAACGTCGCCGTGGGCGAGGGTTTTGTGAGTTTGTGTGATGCTCGTTTATTTATCAACCGACTTAAAAAAAAAGGAGGAGGTTCTCAATTCGACCCGTATGTTTTTTTTTTCTATGTTTGTTACGCGATAACTCCGCCAATTATGAACCGATTTGAACCAATCTTTTTTCGGCGTATAGGTAATACCTCAAGGGTGGTCCCATTTAAATTTAATAATAGAAAAAACAACCCCAAGGGTGGAAAATTGGGGATGAACTTTTTTATACGCAATATCTCCGCCGATTATAAATCAATTTGAACGTTTATTTTTTTGTTGAATAGGTATTATCAAAAGGGTGGTTTCATGCGAATTTGAAGAAAATATTTCACCCCCAAGGGTGGAAAATTGGGGATGAACTTTTTTATACGCAATATTTTTAATTTTTATTTTTTTTTTGTGTTCACGCATTTGAAGTCGGTTTTATTTTTTAAAAAAGTTAATTATTTTATAAAATAAAATAAATCAAAAGCAAAGAAGTTTTCACCAATCCAGCTCAGAGCACTTGTCGATGACAGCAGCCAGTGTGTGGAGATTCTCCAAAATGATGGTGGTCAACCGCATCATGATACGCGTTTCGTGCGCGACTATCTCTGGATACGTGTCCCCAATCATCATGTCCAGTTCTAGAACAATAATTCCGTATTCAGTCTTTTATGGCAGCTGTTACCTACTGGAAGATAGCAAAAATTTAACTGAGCATACCTTCGCATCCTTTGCTTTTGTAATGGATGTAATCATTGTTCTGAAACTGATTATTTTTACAATTAGAGAAAATTCACAATCACACAACTCATGAACTCTCCATGATCACTTCAGCTAATGGCAGTTTACTGCTCAGCATGCAAGCCTCCCAAGAAACGCCACGAAACATGATCCACTGCTTTTTTCGTATATCTATACGAAAAAAGCAGTGGATCATGTTTCGTGGCGTTCAAGGATCTCCTTACTAATTTTTTAACCAACGGTCTTTTGAGAGCCCACAAACGTCATCTGACTTATCCTTATTCTTACCATGAACCTCATATTGGGCAGTTCCTTCTGCTCCATAGTCAGGTCGTCCGCCCAGGCCTTAACTCCTAGTAAGTAGCCCAAGTGCGGCATGTAGAGCATGGTGCACTCCTGCACGAAGCCCGGCAGCCGCTCCAGCTCCACCTTCGCCGTCTCCGACATCAGCCCGTGGAGGCTGGCCATCGTCTGCTTCTCTTTGGAAGTCATGGTCGAAAGGGTGGCGTGATGATTTTTTGAAATTAAGTGTTGAAAATTCAACTTGAACCACTTTATTGTTACAATGGACTTATCATAAAACGGGAGAAATAATGCTACCATTACATATTTTAATTGATGGTCCTTCGAGCCCGATTTAATTTTTTTGAAACAGATGAAACATGATTCGTGTAATTCTGCCACGATAAAGATTGATGTGTAAAAAGTGAATTTATAAAGCTTTGCATTTATTACTTACTCATATCAAGGTCAGGGTCTAGTCCAGCCTTGACGGTGAACTTCCCTTCAGATTTTGTCAGATCAAAGTCTATTATTCTGTTCATGTACAGAGCCATCTGTTTTATAACGAAATATAAGTAAATTATTTTATTTTTAAACCAAAAGTAGTATCCATCTAATTTAGTTTATGATAAGTTGTGTGCGTACTTCATAAAGTTTATTATTGTCGCAAGAAGCTAGTTCTTGCAGAAACTCGCTGGACCTCGCCGCACCCTCGCACATTTCACATATTAGCACTGCGTTGTATAATGTCTAAAATTAACACAATATTGAATATTAAAATGAAGGACCATTGTTCAAGATAATGATTTTATTATCTTTATCATTTTCAAACTCACATTATAAAGCGATTTCCATTGGTACGCCTTTGCAGAAAGAGCTTTGATTTTCGCTAATATTCCCTGAAATTATCATTACAAATTAAACTTGTGTATTTGTTTAAAAGGGCTCAAAGCAAAAATGAAAGCACAAAAATAGTTATAGGTCTACATTACTTTCTCAAACAATCTACAAGATAAAAGAACAACTAACGTTGACATTCTTGATGAACCGGAGTGAGGAGCACATGTTCTTCATGATGACGTCACTCTGCGGCCTCAGGAAAAAAGCTATCACGTCCTGCCGACGCCGCAGCGTCTCCAAGTCCGTGGTTGGGTGTTGCATTAACAACCTACATTACAGTTGGGGTTTTAAATAGTTTTGTTTTGCAAACTTAAAGATGAGAAGTGTCGTGAGCCTGAACCTGAAGTGTTTACGTGAATTATAAAGAGCAATTTACTCAAAAACTACTCATTCTATCTAGGTACCTGAACTTGACCATGTTTAGCATGTAGTGCATGGCCTTTCTTGTCAATCTAGACATAGGTACAACGTATAAAGGGCGTTGCACATTTATCAACCCGGAAAGGGATCGTTACCGTATCAACTCGAGGCGGTCAGTAGTTTTTGTATGGAACTCCATACTGTAACGCACGTTTATCCGCACCGTAACGCAAACGCCTCGCCTCGCGATTGACAACGCGCGAAAGGCGATGACAGCTCGCGAAAGGCGAGACCCTTTCTGAGTTGATAGGTCTGCTATGAGCTTAAGTCTACATTCATTATTTGGGGCTGCAGGACAAGACATCCATTTGACCTAGATGCGGGCAGCGTATGAACTCGCGTTGTGGGACGATCTTTGGTGGAAAGGTTCTGCTATGAAGTGGAACACTCTTACCGCATCCTGCTCTGTCCAGTCTTAGAGCTGCACTTGCTGAGCACGTAGAACAGGCTGAGCCCCTCCTTGCTGGAGCCGTGCACGCCGCGCTTGAAGCCGCTGGGGTGCGAGACCGAGCTGAAGATCTGCAGCCCGCGGTACGTGTCCTCGTCCATGGGTACTTAGAAAGGTTCTGCTATGAAGTGGAATCAAGTGGCAGTGGGCGGGGTACATAGCTCGTAGAGACGATGGTCGTTGGGGCAGACAAGTTCTCGAGTGGCGACTACGGGCTGGAAGACGTAGCGTGGGCAGGCCTCCTACTAGGTGGGCCGACGATCTGGTAAAGGTCCGGAAAGAACCTGAATGCGGGCACCGCAGGATCATTCATTGTGGAAAACCTTGGGGGAGGCCTTTGTCCAGCAGTGGACGTCATTTGGCTGAAACGAACGAACGATGAAGTGGAACACTACCGCATCCTGCTCTGTCCAGTCTTAGAGCTGCATTTGCTGAGCACGTAGAACAGGCTGAGGCCCTCCTTGCTGGAGCCGTGCACGCCGCGCTTGAAGCCGCTGGGGTGCGATACTGAGCTGAAGATCTGCAGCCCGCGGTACGTGTCCTCGTCCATGGTTACTATGTCAGCGCTATATGGGGAAGTGTGTTAAAGTCTTTCCTTGTTCAGGCTTTCGTCTAGCAGTGGATGTCCTTTGGTTGAGAGGTTCTGCTATAAAATACTCTTGGTTCTGCCATGAAGTGGAACACTCTTACCGCATCCTGCTCTGCCCAGTTTTGGAGCTGCACTTGCTGAGCACATAGAACAGGCTAAGCCCCTCCTTGTTGGAGCCGTGCACGCCGCGCTTGAAGCCGCTGGGGTGCGACATCGAGCTGAAGACCTGCAGCCCGCGGTACGTGTCCTACTATGTCAGCGCTATATGGGGAAGTGTGCTAAAGTCTTTCCTTGTTCAGGCTTTCGTCTAGCAGTGGATGTCCTTTGGTTGAGAGGTTCTGCTATAAAATACTCTTGGTTCTGCCATGAAGTGGAACACTCTTACCGCATCCTGCTCTGCCCAGTCTTGGAGCTGCACTTGCTGAGCACGTAGAACAGGCTGAGGCCCTCCTTGCTGGAGCCGTGCACGCCGCGCTTGAAGCCGCTGGGGTGCGACATCGAGCTGAAGACCTGCAGCCCGCGGTACGTGTCCTTGTCCATGGGTACTTAGAAAGGTTCTGCTATGAATTGAAATCAAGTGGCAGTGGGCGGGGCACATAGCTCGTAGAGACGATGGCCGTTGGGGCAGAAAAGTTCTCGAGTGGCGACCACGGGCTGGAAGACGTAGCGTGGGCAGGCCTCCTACTAGGTGGACTGACGATCTGGTAAAGGTCCGGAAAGAACCTGGATGCGGGCACCGTAGGATTATTCATTGTGGAAGACCTTGGGGCCTTTGTCCAGCAGTGGACGTCATTTGGCTGAAACGAACGAAGGATGAAGTAGAACACTACCGCATCCTGCTCTGCCCAGTCTTAGAGCTGCACTTGCTGAGCACGTAGAACAAGCTGAGCCCCTCCTTGTTGGAGCCGTGCACGCCGCGCTTGAAGCCGCTGGGGTGTAATACTGAGCTGAAGATCTGCAGCCCGCGGTACGTGTCCTCGTCCATGGTTACTATGTCAGCGCTATATGGGAAAGTGTGCTAAAGTCTTTCCTTGTTCAGGCTTTCGTTTAGCAGTGGATGTCCTTTGGTTGAGAGGTTCTGCTATAAAATACTCTTGGTTCTGCCATGAAGTGGAACACTCTTACCGCATCCTGCTCTGTCCAGTCTTGGAGCTGCACTTGCTGAGCACGTAGAACAGGCTGAGGCCCTCCTTGTTGGAGCCGTGCACGCCGCGCTTGAAGCCGCTGGGGTGCGACACCGAGCTGAAGATCTGCAGCCCGCGGTACGTGTCCTCGTCCATGGTTACTATGTCAGCGCTATATGGGGAAGTGTGTTTTAAAGTCTTTCCTTGTTTAGGCTTTCGTCTAGCAGTGGATGTCCTTTGGTTGAGAGGTTCTGCTATAAAATACTCTTGGTTCTGCCATGAAGTGGAACACTCTTACCGCATCCTGCTCTGTCCAGTCTTGGAGCTGCACTTGCTGAGCACGTAGAACAGGCTGAGGCCCTCCTTGTTGGAGCCGTGCACGCCGCGCTTGAAGCCGCTGGGGTGCGATACTGAGCTGAAGATCTGCAGCCCGCGGTACGTGTCCTCGTCCATGGTTACTATGTCTGCGCTGTGATGGGAAGGATTTTTAGTCTTCCCTTTCTTTAAAGTCGTACCTGACCTTAGTAGGTAAGTAGGTAGGTAGGCTTTGTTAGTATATTTTAACCATGGATTTGTCGGAAAACTGCCAATAATAGGTACTAGGTATGAAACCTAAGCTTCATTTCTTAAAACTGTATCCAGTAAGTATCAAACCGGTATTTTAACTGGGTCGTTTTAGTACTACAATGTTAGAAAAGGATCTAGGACTGATCGCCTCTACCACCATATCATTTATATCACCAAAGGCCTTTTTTATGGATGAGTCATTTCATCGAAAATCCGTTTGACCGAAAACTCATATTTATGCTGCTTGAGAAATCGGTTCCGATTGACATTACCAAGGACTTTCTTGAATGACTTTCCATATGTATAATTAGTCTTAGACCTCATAGACAAACTGAATTAAACCTACAGCGAAATCTTCTTCAACCTCAAAAACTGCGGCTTGCTATGCAGGTCCATGCAGAGCGAGGACCAGTTGAGGTCCAGATACCGCAGGAGGGCGCCTAAAGCGTGCACGCTTTGTGTCTGGTTGAAGTCCACCACTGTCCGGAGGAAGAGAGTGCGCTCGTCTTCGGAACAGTTGGGAGGTTCGTGTGGGAGGGACAGTGTGAGGATGCGGCGCTTGCAGGCTTCGAAACCTGATGGATGTAGTTAAAAGTCGTCAGGTCATTTAATCCAGTACAGGTAACGACAAAGGGAATATTTAGGAGTCATTAGGTCGTTAATTCTCTACTACAGGAATTTTTTCTACAATTTACCAGAGGCAAATGGAGGATTTGCACTTCCACGCTAGCCACCTAGCCAGACGGGTAGGGGACTTTTGATGTTCGCGTGTTTTTTTTTATTTTATTTTTTTATGCATAACAAGGCAGGTATTTGACCACAATCGCACCTGATGTTAAGTGGGATGCAGTCTAGGATGGTACATATCTGCCCTGTAAGTGCTTATTCACTCTCGCCTTGAAGAGGCCCGGATTATAGTTTTCGGGAAAGACAGCAGCAGGCAACGAATTCCAGTCCCTAGCTGTTCGCATTATAAAAGAGTCATCGAAACGCTTAGTGCGAGCTGGTGGAATGTCAACAATATAGGGATGATACGCTAACCTGCGTCTGGTTCCCCGATGATGGAAGGGGGCTGGTGGAATCAATTCGTGTAATTCTTTCGCACATTCTCCGAAGTGTAGCCTGTAGAAAACCGATAGGGATGCTTCCGGGATGTTTCTTTCTTACTCGCCTCCTACGATATCCACAGGAATAGGTGCTTGGCGGAGGAGTAGCCTTATCGAATTTAGATACCGAAACAAACATAGTAACTACAACACTATCCCAATTTAACAACTGGGATCTAACGATAGTATTCTTAGTAAACACGGAAACAATATTGTACAGGAAGAATCCTCATTACTACATAACAAGGTTAAACCACAGATTAAACACTATAGTGATTAATTGGTACACTCGTAAATAAATACAAATTCATGTTAATGCTATAATAAATACTGATTAAACAATTTATCAACTTCATAACACGCCTACTCGATCAACAATTTTTTTAGATTTCATTAAGTTTAATGGTGCCGCATCATTACCAACTAATTCGGAAAGGAAAGCAATAACTTTGGAGGGGGATAAGTGGTTTTTCACTCAGTGTCACTCAGTGGGGTTTCACAATCTCTAACAAATTATAAATACCTTTTTATCATTTGGTTAATCTGACTGTCTACTTACTGTACTCTCTCGCTGATATGAACATGAGCTTGCAAGAGCCCTCGCCGCTTCCGTCACAGTCAAAGACGGTCTTCTTGACGGCCTGCACGAAGGCGCCCTGCGTCTTGCCGTCCAGGAGCACCCTGGACGGAGCCACTTGCCGGAACAGGTTTAGAAACATCAGGAACTCTGGTGGACGGTCTACGATTTCATCTAGAATGTGGAGCTGGAGAGGTCAAGAATGGTAAGCAGAATTATTAACGCATTATTCTGGAGAGGTCAAGAATAATAAATCAAATCAAATTAAATTTCTTTATTTGCGTAATTCCAGGTACATAAGTAGTCTTACATAGATTAGACGAAGAATTATTGACACAATATTTTTTCTAATGACCTTACGTATAATAGGAGAACGGCTTTAACCTTATGACACTGATTATGACCCGCCATAGCATTAGGCCACACAAATCTACTTTCTGGTGTGTCTAGTAGGTATTATTTAATTTTGGTTTCAGGACCTGCTGAATGAATTTTCAGGACTTTATGGAGGCCTAGTTAGATTAGTTTTCATCTGACATGGCATGACCTGGGTTCGAATCTCAGGTGGATCGCAATTTATTGTGATAACTTTGTGGTGGTTTCATTTGTTTCAGAAGTTTCTATGCATTTTTTTCACATAATTATTATACCCACCTCTCCCGTCTGTAGCGTGTAGTAGGCGGCCCCCAACTTCCCGGCTCGGCAGTACACGACGAGTATTTTCTGTTAATTAACAACCCAAATTAATTACCGACTTAATTAACGTCGTAAATTTGAAACACCATTAATCTTCCCCCGTGATTTTCATATTTGAAACGGGCGCTATCGTATCATGTGAAATATTAAAAATATGTTTACTAAAATACTGTTATCAATCACCTAATACCGGTTTTAGGTACCTGTACCTACATAAAAGGAGGTTAGTTAGTAACAAGTTGATGACTTGCCTTTAGTTATTTGCATCGTGGCATTTGTTTTTGTATTATGTATGTAATTTTTTAGGGTTCTATTTCACAACGACGTTTAGATAGCTACCATACAAATACAAACGCTGTAATTTAATGTTTTCAATTTACCTCTTCTACGTCCGAATCTTCCGTAGATTCTTGATTGTTAGTAGCGTTCTGGTTTGGTGGAACATCTGTATTTCTGTGACAAAGTAAAAATAATTGGGTAGGTATGCGTGCTAAGTATTATGACTTTTTCAATAAAACTTTGGTTAAAAGTTTAAAAACAATAAAAAGATACCCTTACCTCCGACATTTAGCAATTACAAAATGATTATCCGTTTGGGACGAACCGGGAACTGTGGCACTACTACTGGTGTGAGGCTGCCGAACCACATTTGTTTGCACACTACCAAAATTACTGCTATCAGTCATCATTACAGCAATTTTAAAGATTTGTGAATCAGTGTTTGTTCACAACACAACTTGTATAAATTGGCTATTCCAAAAAATAATATTTTTCCACTATGGAAAAGCAACAGATTATATTTTTTATTTCCCGCCAATTTTGGCTGGACGACGAAAAAAGACGACGTCTAGTGACGTGAATCAGTGAATTTATGAAAAAGGTTTTCAATTACTCGATTTACCTTGATTAAATTTTGATTTTGATTTCCTGAAATAAAAACATTATTTGTTAATTCGCTACTTTTACAGCTTAAGATCTTTATAAGTGCAAACTTTTTAGATTTAAGTACTCCTAAAAAGTTAAAAGGTAGTTTGTGTAAAGTGAAAAGTCATTGCTAAATTACCCACTTCATTATTTTAACATGCAATAAAGTTAATAACACCCTATAATAAACTAAGCTTATGTTTTTGTTCGTAAGACATAGCTACCGTTTCGTGTTTTATCCTAATTACTAATATAATAATGGCGACACAGCTATGGCGTGTGCGGGGTCCATTTGCCGGGCAAGGGTTATTGGGGCACTCACCTTAATATTGCACTCAAAACAATCTGGCTGCTCGTTGACCTGAATATGTGGCTTCTTGACAGGTTTGGCTTGGCTTGGCTTATTAAACAGTTGATGGCTATGATAAGATCGGACGCGGGGGCTTGGAATAATTATTAAACAACTTATGTTGTTATTAAATAATACCAGTAATACTTGTAAAACAGATAACTTTAATTAAATACTTTTGTAATATAAAATTGCTGTAATTTTACTTATTTTAAATACTTTTTTATCATTAGTAGGTATACGCACATTAATATTATTAATATCATGTTTATTAATTTTTATACTGATTAAAACATATTATTGGTAATTTAATAGAATCTAATAAATATTATTGATAATTATGTATTATTAGTAATTATTTTAGTACTTGGTGCATAAAACGTTTCAAAATGTGAAATATTTAATATTTTAATTATTTTACTATAGATTTATAAAGGCACTTATAAGCATTTAACATATTTTTAATAATGTCTGTTTTAAATTCACACTTTAGTCTGTATTTAAATCCACATTTATTTCACTCATCGTTTATCATTTAAAAATCGATTGACTTTAAAATTGAACACAATCGAGTTCGTCCCATCACTAGAGGTGCGTTTACACTACACGACAAGGAGGTCGCGCTCCTCTGGCGCGTCCCGTCGCATGTTCACGCGGATATGTCTGCAAACATGGCCGACTGCTTCTGCTGCCGGCACCACCGTGGCGGCCATGCAAGACATGACCATGGTACGGAGAGACGCGAAGTAGATCTTCACGCAGCGAAGGCAGGGCGCCGTGCACCAGATTTGCTGAAAAAGAAGATGAAAAGCCAAAGTGACTGTTGTGATTTGAAAAAGTGTCGTTGGGATTTGAGTTAAGACTTAAGACCTACATTTTTGGAAACGTTCAATTTTACTGGGCAGGTGAGCAAAAAGCAAAAGTTTTGTTAACGTTAAGAGATGCAATATTGTTTCATTAATTATTTTGTCGTGGGTTTATTTAGTTTCCAGTTCAACTACCTTCATAAGTAAATAATTTTACGCATCGATTTATCTTTTAGTAAAAGAGATTTTTATTTAACTTGAGTGTAAGTTAAGTTTGAAAATAACTACTACCTACCATATTTTTTCCTTTCCGTTCAGTTCTTTATTAGATTTACCAAAAATACCTATTAATAAGTGTAGCGTGCCGCCATATTTAACATTGTCAGTTTACACTTGGCCAAACAATTCGGGACGGCACAAAGCAGTGCCAATTATTGTAATGGCCGAGGCTTCACGGCCGTCACAGTGACCGTAGCATGCGGCACGAACCGAAATGTGATCCTAAATAGTAATTACATACGGATTACGGTTCAACGACCCGCGGGTGGGGGTTTTATTACTGCTATTTGTAAAAATACCGCTGATTTGTCAAAATAATATTGCGGGTAATTAATACTTCTATTTTACAGGCGTACATCGTAGAGTATCTATCACAAGAGATATTAATTGTGGGCTCGTTGAATGGTGGTAGAAAAGTAATGCAGAAAGATGGAAAATTGCATCAAAGCAGGACGAAGTTCTGTCGTGGTGGAAACAGAAACGCCACACGCAGCTGGCGTGCTGTCTGGCTTCTGACGGAAGGTATAGCACCAGTTCCTGGCGTGCTGGAAGTAGATAACCTACACGGCTGCTCCTTCTTGGCAGAATAGATACGTACCCTCAAATGCAAGACAGGCGAAACCGCAGTCGAGGCAAAGGGAGGACGGCGAAGAAGGCTTAGCACCAATTCCTTTCGTGCTGGAGCAGAAGCACCAGCCCTGGAAGCAGGGCTGGTGCCTAAAAACTGTGGTTAAAACAGAATAGACACGTACCTCAAAAGCAAGGCAGGGGGAACCCGCAGCCAAGACACAGGGCGCAGGGAGGCGCGATGAGGACGGCGAGGAAGGTGTAGCACCAGTTCCGTGCGTGCTGGAAGCAGAGACCCTACAAAGCTGCTCCTTCTTGATATAGTAGATTACCTCAAATGCAAGACAGGCGAAGCCACAGCCAAGACACAGGGCGCAGGGAGGCGCGATGAGGACGGCGAGGAAGGTGTAGCACCAGTTCCGTGCGTGCTGGAGCAGAAGCACCAGCCCTACTCCCACTTAATACAGAATAGACACGTACCTACCTCGAAAGCAAGACAGGCGAAACCGCAGCCGAGGCAGAAGGCGCGATGAATTTTGCCAGGAAGGTGTAGCAAGGTGTAGCACCAGTTCTTGGCGACTGGAAGCAGATTTGCCACACGCCTGCTTTACTTACCTCGAAGGCAAGACAGGCGAAGCCGCAGCCAAGGCACAAGGCGCAGGGAGGCGCGATGAAGACGGCGAGGAAGGTGTAGCACCAGTTCCGTGCGTGCTGGAAGCAGAGACCCTACAAAGCTGCTCCCTCTTGGCATAGAGTAGCTACTTACCTCAAAAGCAAGGCAGGCGAAGCCGCAGCCGAGGCAAAGGGCCCAGAGAGGACGAGGAAGGTGTAGCATCAGTTCCTGGAGTGCTAACAGTAGATGAGCCTCACATCTGTTTTCTCTTGAAGAAGAGTAGCTGCTTACCTCAAACGCAAGGCAGGCAAAGCCGCAGCCAAGACACAGGGCGCAGGGAGGCGCGATGAGGACGGCGAGGAAGGTGTAGCACCAGTTTCTGGCGTGCTGGAAGCAGAGGTGCCACCTGGCTGCTTCCTCTTGATATAGAGTAGCTCAGATTTGCCACACGCCTGCTTTCTCTTGCCAGAGTACCTAGCTACTTACCTCAAACGCAAGGCAGGCAAAGCCGCAGCCAAGACACAGGGCGCAGGGAGGAGCGATGAGGACGGCGAGGAAGGTGTAGCACCAGTTCCTGGCGTGCTGGAAACAGAGCGCGCTGAGTCTCCACGCGCACTCTGGGCTACGCGCGCCTTCTGGCTCGCCTATGATGTCGTCCCACACTATCTGCGGACATGGTGAGTTCCTTGAGAATTATTTCATTTTATACTACTTGTTTTAGCTCTTTAGAAAACTGTACCCTGTTAATTGAACGCATTGGGGCTTTTCATTAATTTTCACTGTCCTATACTAAACTGAAGTGCTATAGTTTGTTTGGATTTTTAAACCCTACTTTGCTGATTTTGATTCTATCGTAAAATATTTAAAAAAATAACTTATTCTATCTGCAAATCTTTAACCCTTCGCCCTTTAACGCTTCGGGACATTAAAAGCTAGCCCAGCTGAGAAGAAGCAGTTACTACGTTTAAATATTTATTTTTATCTAAGTACTTAGTATGCCCCTATTAATAATTTCTATCGGACACACCATGTCAGCACGTTATATACTGACAATGGGAAATCGATGCACTATTCAGGCCAATGGCGTCCGTTATGTCATACTTTGTGTCATAGTTGAAGCAAAGGGAATGCCGACTGCTGTGTCAGTGTGTCAATGCCGATAGAACATAAAATAGAATAGGTACTTACAATAGAAATGGCTGTACTTGAACTTCAGACCAGAATTTTTGGTAAGAAAGGAACTCAACATAATGCCATAAATGATTGCGTTGTTTTTCATTAATATCAGTCGTCTTAACTACCCCATTATATGTAGACAATGTAATCCACGTCACAGATTAACGCCCGTATTCACAAACGATGCTTGCATAAGTGTTGCAGCAAATCGAACGCACAGCGTTGAATAGAGCTGTGTGATTGGTTCGCGTTTGACCCTGTGCGTCCACCCAGTGCGCACTGTGAGACCTCATAGTAATGTTTGTGAATACGGGCGTAAGTTTCTAGTAATGTTATTTGTACTAACTCGTTTCACAAACTATCGCGCCCTTTTATGTGGACGCACGTTAGAGAGGTGAAGCACTTTCAGACAATACGACTATGACATCCATTAATTGATTGGGTAGGAAGTGCAGTTAGGTTCGTTCTGCATTGGTAATTTTTTCTCTTCCCTCAATATTTGAACTAAAATTTTCCTCTCGCATTTCCATTCATTTACATTTTAACAAAAACTGACGTTTGAAAATCTCGCCTTTTCTAACCAGGGTTAACAAACCCCTCGAGTACTTAGAAAGAAAGCGTTTATGATCGCGTGACCGCTAGCCACCATGACATCACCTGATTATAGTCGCTACTACAATGGACCTAGGTATCCGATTTTCTGTCTAGATCTAAAAATCAGTTTACCTGCTTAAACAATGTGTTTGGTCACGCATTGGACAAACTTCAAAAGGGCTCGTATGGAGAAAATTCCTTTACTTGGCAGCTAGTTTGAATCTCGCTGGGGACAAATACTCTCATAAAACTCATTTGATTCTGCAAACATGCTTTAAAAAACCGGCCAAGTGCGAGTCGGGCTCGCACACCGAGGGTTCCGCCGTACAAACGTAGCGGTTTACAATTTATGACGTATTAAATCAAATTACTTACTTG